CATTTTACACATAAGGAAAGTGAAATTCAGAAAGATTAGGTAGATTGTCCCAAGTCAGACAGCCAGTAAGTAACAGCTGAACTCTGAATCAAGGGTTGAATGGAAAATCAGTTTTCAATTACTAGTAAACAAATCCCTTTTCCTTTCTCTTTCTGTCATCTGCCTACCATCCAGATATGCGGATTGCCTGTAATCTATTGTTCAATGAGACCAAAGCCATTTGTTTCAGAAAAGAACAAGGGATGTCCCTTGCTACTCTTCTAAACAATGACTGCTAACCATTACTGAGTAAACATCATTGGGGGGAGGGAGAGCTGGGAGACACAGACCAAACTGTGCTTACAACATAGTCAAAAACATTTATTGGGCAGCCCTGGTGGCTCAGCCGGTTTAGCACCGCCTCCAGCCCAGGGTGTGATCCCCGAGACTCCGGATCGAGTCCCACTTCAGGCTCCCTGCATGGAGCCTGCTTCTCCCTATGCCTGTGTCTCTGCCTCTCTCTCTCTGTGTGTCTCTATAAATAAATAAAAAATGTTAAAAAAAAATACCCAAGAGCTTTAAAAAAAAATTTATTAAGGAGGAACTGGTATGTACCAATTGGAACATTTTCCAATGTTGGAACAATTTCCAAACAGATCAAGCGAATAGACGAAGGAGAAAGAGTATGTACAGACACTATTCTTTGTGTAAGAGAAAGAATATATAATAAACAAGAAAATGGTAATAGTGGTTACCCCTAGGGAGAAGGACTGGCTGGCAGCTTGAGGCAAGATAGACCCTTTACAATTTGTTCCCCTTTGAACTATTTGCCTTGTTTTTTTGTTTTTTAAAGATTTTATTTATTTATTCATGAGAGACAGAGAGAGAGAGAGAGGCAGAGACAGGCAGAGGGAGAAGCAGGCTCCATGCAGGGAGCCTGACTTGGGACTCAATCCTGGGTCTCCAGGATCACGCCCTGGGCCAAAGTCAGTGCTAAACTGCTGAGCCACCTGGACTGCCCGAACTACTTGCCTTTATTTATTTATTTATTTATTTATTTATTCATTCATTCATTCATTCATTCATTCATTCATTCATGAGAGAGAGAGAGAGGCAGAGACACAGGCAGATGGAGAAGCAGGCTCCATGCACGGAGCCCGATGTGGGACTTGATCCCAGGACTCCAGGATCACGCCCTGGGGCCAAAGGCAGGCGCTAAACCGCTGAGTCACCCAGGGATCCCAACTACTTGCCTTTAAAAAGAGAATCCATGTGTGGTATTTTTTTTTTAACTTCTTAAAAAAAAAAAAAAAGATTAAAAACACCATTTAAAGACACCACGTTTTGCCAGGCCTCTCCCAAATGCTCGCATACATACAACTGCAACCATAAAGAATGTATGCTTATGAACAAAAACTGGATGAACTTAATATGTGGTAAAACAGGACTGGGCAACAGCCTTTGTCTTTCATGCTGAGGTTCACCAATTTCACTAATGTTGCAAATGTTTTTGAAAATAAATCAACAGAATTTCTAAGATAGAGATACAACATACATATAAGCAGCAGGGATAATTTGCCACATCTTCCTGAACTCCTTCATCTGCTCCTTCAACAAGTACTGAATGGGCATCTACTGTGTGCTAGGCAAAGTGTTAGACAGATTTTTTTTTTAAAGGACTAAACAGCAGGTCATTAGTTTCTTCCCTCCTGCCTTTCAGGAAAATATGGACAGCATGCTAATGAGAAGAATGCTAGAGCAAGGACCACCCTTCATGTTCGTAGTCTAACACCATTCTCATTCAGCCTAGAAAATGGAGTTCTGGGGAAAGCAGTTGTTCAACGTTACATAAGTGAAGGCTTCAGGATTACCGTCCTGCTCTCCCTACATGCTTCATGCTGTTCTTTTATGTTGAAAGATACACAGAGAGGGAAGAAATGGACCCTAACATTAGTGCCTTGCCCTAACATTAGTGCCTGAATTATCAGGTGCTTTCACATATCCTGTGTCATTTATTCTTCATAACCTCTCAAGATGGGCATGATCACCCTTGTTCCACAAATAAGGAAAACAAAGCCCTGAGAAGCTGAGAAACTGGTGCATAAGGCTTCCTACACAGACCTCTGTGACTTCCAAGCCAGAACCTTCACCCTCCATACTCAACAGGAAAATCAATTTAAAAAGGTAGTCTGCAGGGAGGGGTGGGGGAGCCTGGGTAGCTCAGTTGGTGAAGCATCTGACTCTTGATTTCAGCTCAGGTCATGATCTCAGGGTCCGGAGAGCTCCACGCTCAGCGTGGAGTCGGCGTGAGATTCTCTCCCTTTCCCTCTACCCCTCCCCCCAACTCACAGACCCTCTCTCTTAAATAAATAAATAAATAAATACATAAATACATAAATAAATACATAAATAAATACATAAATAAATACATAAATAAATACATAAATAAATAAAATCTTTTAAAGATAAAAAGGTAAACTGGCGGGCAGCCCGGGTGGCTCAGCGGTTTAGCTGCCGCCTTCAGCCCAGGGCCTGATCCTGAAGACCCGGGATCAAGTCCCATATCAGGCTTCCTGCATGGAGCCTGCTTCTCCCTCTGCCTGTGTCTCTGCTTATCTCTCTCTCTCTCATAAATAAATAAATAAAATATTTTTTTTTAAAAAAGGTAAACTGGGGCCATATCACAGAGAGCCTTAATATTTTCCATTAAATGAAGTTTCTCTCTCAACTCTGGGTGTTGTCACTCCAATAATAACAATCAAAAAGCCAATGCCTTTATTATTCAATGCATGTTCTAACTTTTGTGTGCCACCAAGCTTGGGCTTTCCTTTTAACCCACAGAGGCTATCCAGAGGGCAGCAATCTTTGAGAACCACTTATATAGTTTCTGCCAGGACAGAAAGGAACATTGCCAATACTGCTTCTAGACCCTCTGGGCACCTGCCACACAAGCACAGGTCCCAGTAAGGAACCACCCCTGAGGAATTCCTGGGTGGCGCAGTGGTTTAGTGCCTGCCTTCAGCCTAGGGCATGATCCTGGAGTCCCAGGATCGAGTCCCATGTCAGGCTCCTTGCATGGAGCCTGTTCCTCCCTCTGTCTGTGTCTGTGCCTCTCTCGGTCTCCCTCTGTGTCTCTAATGAATAAATAAATAAAATCTTCAAAAAAAAAAAAAAAAAAAGGAACCACCCCTGAGACACCATCCCCATGATGTCACTGGTTCACCACCAGACCAGCTGAATGATAGTGAGAGAGGCCAGCACCATGGTGGTTGGCCTCCAAAAGCTTCATTGCCTCTAAAATAAAGAAAAACACAGCCCAGTGCAGGAGAAGCCTCCTCCTGCCTTCTTCTCTCTGTCCATGCAATGCGGGTAGGAGAAATGACAGCTTGGAATGATCAAATTGCTAGCGAATAGAGGTACTGGGTGCCAAAAGGTCATACACATGGGTACGAGACATCTTCTGGAGAGGATGGAGCCCTCTCACCTTGATTTCTTCTCTCTGCCCCTGTAGGAAGCTATGAAATTCTCAATTCTCACATTCCCTTCTATTTAGTGTCTCCCTTTCGGAATGTGGTAACATCAGAGCTCCTACTTGGCTGGGGAGGGGGGAATTCCATAAGGCTCAAGTCTAAGCCTTATGATCTAGGTCAGAGTCCTCAATGGGGGTGGGGTCTAAAGGTCAGCAAACAATGAAATGTTCCTCACTTTCCACCTGCCATTGCTCCCTGCCACAGCTCCCTCAGAGGTCTTAATCCAAGTCACATCTGAGACTGTCTTTTGGGGACTCTCTGCCACAAACCTCATCCCAAATTCAAATAAGAAAATGGTTTGCTAATTAGAAATACCCTTTTCTTTAAACCCCCAGTCCCTGAGTCCAGCCTCCCCATCCACAAAGAGGGCAGAGATTCATAACTTTACACCACGATTTGCTCAGTAAGCATTTTTCCATCCTATCCTCACAAGGCCCCTGGGAGGCACACAAGGCGGGTAGCACGATCCTCAGATGTTCTTTTTGCAGAGGAAGACACAAAGCACAGAGAGGTGAAAGACCCTCCAGGGGTTACACAAAGACGAAAGCTTCTGAACCCTCATTCCTGGTTCTTTCCCCTCACCGGGCTGCCAGGTCAATCTTTTGGAGACTGCCATTGCTAATATCTGCAGCAGCATCTGGTACCAGGGCCCTTCAAGCTTCACACTAACTACTCTTCCAGGAAGCAACATTTCTGATCATCGAATGAATGCCAACGCGGCCGCAATCGAAGCTTACCCTCGGCTACAGCAACAGAGAAAACCCCGGAGAAATGAAAAACGACGCGCCCCACTTAAGGCACAGCGTGGCATCGGAGAAGCCACCAGCCTAATAACCTGGGCGGCAGAGACCCAAGTCAGCCTCAGGAGAGGCACAGGCTGGCCTGGCCGGCCGCTCTGGCCCAGGAGCAACCCTCGAAGCCTCCAGAATCTTAAGAGAGCCCAGAGCTCTTGCGCTCACCCCAAACCCCCTGGGCATAGGAGAGCTACCTTCCCGTCTCCACGGACCACGCACCCTGCGCCCGCTCCTCACCTGGGGCACCGCTTCCGGGCCTGCAACCACTCGGGGCCCCGCCCCCCGCCCCTGCAGGTCTCCCTGGCCCCGCCCTTTGCACCTGCGGTTTCCTCAGGCCCGGGCTCTTCGGCTTCGGCCTCACCTCGCAGCCCCCTCCCACAGCCAAATCTGTGGTTCCCCCCCCGCCCCGCCCAACTGACTCCATCAGCCCCGCCCCCCCGCACCTGCGGCCGGTCCCCACACCTGCTGCCCTTCCTACCAACCCCTCCCGTTCCAGCCCACCTACGGCTCCCGGCCCGGGCCCCTGCGACCCCGAACCCGCCCGCACCACCCCTGCCCCCCTGGCCCCGCCTCCCGCCCCGAGGCCCCTCCCCGGCCCAGCGGCCTCTCCGGGTCCCGCCCCCCCCGCACCTGCAGCTCCCTGCGGCCCGGCCCTCAGGGCCCCGCCCCGCCCCGCCCCGCGGGCCGCTCCTCTCACCGCCCGCTCTCGCCGCCGCCGCCGCCGCCGCCGCCGCCGCCGCCGCCGCCGCCGCCGCCGCCGCCGCCGCCGCCGCCGCCGCCGCCGCCGCCGCCGCCGCCGCCGCCGCAGTCCCGGCCGGTCACCTTGACGCGGGCCGCAGTGGCTGCTGCCGCCTCCTCATGGCCCTGGGAGCGGCCCAGGCGGCAGCGGCGCCTTCGCTCGGAGGCCAGGGCCGGGCCAAGCCGGGCCGGGGCCGGGCCAGGCGCAGCTGGAGCGCGGGCCGACGCGGGAGCGGAGCCGGTACCCAGCCGCAGTAGGAACCGTCCGCTCCTGGGCCTGAGCGGCGGGCCGCGCAGCCAATCGGCGTGCGGCGCCCGACCAATCCTCCCAATCAGCTCGTCGCAGAGGCGGAGACACGCAAATCGGCCGGCTGGGCGCGCCAGTGCGCAGCCGCTGCAGCGCTGGTCCTCGCTGGCCTCGGCCTCCGCTCTAGGTGGCGGACGCCCTCTCAGCCTGTGAGGATGCTCCGCGGCCCGCACACCCCTCTCAGCGCCCTGCCACGCCCATCTTCTTCCTAGAAATAGCAGTGCATCTTATTCCCCATACATCTTTCCAGGCCTCATACAATTTCCCCTTGAAATCCCTACTTAGGATTTACGGTTTTGAACAAAAAATGGTTTTGTGACAGCATCACCTTAGTGCTCATTCTTTACAACCGAGAGGTAGGCATAGAACACAGAACGTCAGAGCCAGAAGACACCTCAGAGAGCCTGGGTTCCTACCCATTTACTTTACAGATGGGCAAAATAAGGCCCCACGAGGTGAAGGGACTTGCCCGAGACCACACGAGTGTAAAGTGGGGAAATGAGCCTGTCTCTTGTCTCCCCGCTCCCACATCTTTTACTCTGCGCCAGGCACTATGAGATGGGAGGTTAAATTAATTGATTCCAGTCGCAGGGGTAACAAGTTGCAAAGACCGTCAAGCCAGGTCTGTGAAACCCTGGAAGTCCAGAAGCACAGTAGGAAGCTCCTTCATCCTCCCTTACTCTGATGATTCTTGGGCACACAGACATGGAGAACATCATTTTGGCAATTTTCAGATTCACTTGGAAGTAACATCAGAGTATGGAAAGATTTGGTTCCCATATCCTAAAGCTTAGGGAGAAAAAAAGAGAAACTATAAAAAAGAAAGAAAAGTCAGGGAAATGTGAATCAAAACTACAATGAGATAGCACTTCACACCCTTGAGGATGGCTAAAACAAATAAGACAATTGTCCAATTGTCCATTATTGTCCAATAATGGAGCTGGTGAGGAAGTGGAGAAATTGGAGAGCCTTCATACACCGCTTGTAAGAATGTAAAATGGTGCAGCCACTTTGGAAACCAGCCTGGCAGTACCTTGAAAGGTTAAATTTGGAGTTACTATATGACTCAGCAATTCCACTCTCAGAGACATGCCCAAATGAAAACATACATCCATACAGAAACTTGTACATAAATGTTCATAACAGCGTTATTCATAATATCCAAGAAGTGGAAATAATGTAATGTCCATCAACTGATGAGTGGATAAATAAAATATGGCATATCTATACAATGAAATATAAAAAGAAATGAAGTGATGATCCATGCTACAACATGGATGAACCATGACAACATGCTGAGTGAAAGAAGTCAGATCACATGATTCCATTTATATGAAATGTCCAGAACAGACAAATCTATAGAGACAGAGAGGTAGATTAGTGCTTGTCTAGGGCTGGGGGCAAGGGGAGAAGAATTAAGGGTAATGGCTAAGGCAGGGAGTTTCTTCTTAAGGTGATGAAAATGTTCTAAATTGATTGTAGGGCTCATTGCACAACTCTGAATATACCAAAAGCCATTGCATTGTACACTTTAAATGAGTGAATTATATAGTGTATGAATTATATCTTAATAAAGCTTTTTTTAAAAAAAAAAAACAGCCCAGGTGGCTCAGCGGTTTAGCGCTGCCTTTGGCCCAGGACGTGATCCTGGAGACCTGGAATCAAGTCTCCATGCAGGGAGCCTGCTTCTCCCTCTGCCTGTGTGTCTCTCATGAATAAATAAAAAATAAAAAATCTAAATAATAATAAAATAAAAATAAATTTAAAATCTTTTTTTTTTTTTTTAAAGCTATCATAGGGACACCTGGGTAACTTAGTTGGTTGAGTGTCAGACTCTTGATTTCACCTCAGGTCATGATCTCAGGGTCATGAGATCAAGCCCTACATCAGGCTCCATGCTCAGCAAGGAGTCTGCTTGAGATCTCTCTCTCTCCTTCTTCCTCTACCCCCCATGCTCTCTATCTCTCTCTCTAAAAATAAATGAATCTTTAAAAATATAAAAATTTAAAGTTATCGTAAATTCTAATCAATCGGGCAGCCCTGGTGGCATAGAGGTTTAGCGCCATCTGCAGCCCAGGGCGTGATCCTGGAGACCCTGGATCGAGTCCCACGTCAGGCTCTCTGTATGATGCCTGCTTCTCCCTCTGCCTGTATCTCTGCCTCTCTCTCTCTGTCTCTATGAATAAATAAATAAAATCTTTTAAAAAATCTAATCAGGGATCCCTGGGTGGCGCAGTGGTTTGGCGCCTGTCTTTGGCCCGGGCGCGATCCTAGAGACCCGGGATCGAATCCCATGTCAGGCTCCTGGTGCATGGAGCCTGCTTCTCCCTCTGCCTGTGTCTCTGCCTCTCTCTCTCTCTCTCTCTGTGACTGTCATAAATAAAAAAAATAAAAATAAAAAAAGACATTCTAAAAAAAAAATCTAATCAATCATGTCACTCCCGTGTTCAAATACCATGTAACAGAATATGGAGGGAATCTCAGCTACATCCACTAGAGTTTAGATTGCCTACTATCAACATGTGATACACTGGTGAAGTATTCTCAGCATCTCATGTGTTTGAGTCACTCTCAATGAGAAGGAACTTTTGAATCACAGAAGAAAAGGACAGTTGAAAAAGTCACAAAGGGGCAATCTCCCAAGCCAGCTGCTTCTGTGTAGACTTGTACTTCCTGGAAAGCCAAGTTTTAGGACAGTTCAAAGAGCTGTTTTCATTAGAGATGCTGGTCAACGGGGATGCTGTGATATACAGACTCTAGGGCAGCCTCCACAACCTGTATCTTCTGATGTCCTTGGCCTGTATGATCCCCTTCCCTGAGTGTAGGCAGGATCGGACCTGCTTCTAACCAGTAGAATAAGGCAAAGGTTTTAGGATATATGTGATTACATCCTAAATCTTACACAAGATTATAACTTATCTTGCTAGGAGGAGACTCTGTCCTGCTGCCCTTGAAAACACAAACTGCCATGCTGTAAGTTGCCCTATGGAGGAAACCACTCAGCAAGTAACTGAGAGCAGCCTCCAGCCAACAGCCAGCATGAAACTGGGGCCCTCAGTCCAGCAACCTGCAAGGAACTAAATGATGCCAACAATCACATGAGCTCAGAAACACATCCTTCCCTTGTCAAGCCTTGGATGTAGCTGTAGCCCTAGCCAATGCCTTGATTATAGCTTTGTGAGACCCTGATGCAGAGGGCCCAGCTAGGCTAAGCCAAATTCCTGACCCACCAAAACTTTGAGAGAATAAATGTGAGTTGTTTTAAGCTGTTACATTTGTGATAAAATTGTTATGCAGGAACATATAACTAGTATGGAGGCACAGCCCATCCTGTCCTGGAGCCCAGCTTCTATGCAGCAGCCATTGGTGCCCAGGTACAGCAAGGATTTTGGCATGCAGCACTCCTCCAGATCCTGGGGCCTTGTGTCTTTAGAGCCTAGAAAAGAGCACCATCATTGGGGTACAGTTATCAGTGGCAATGGTGAGATGCCCCAAAGAGGAAGCAACCATCAGCATGGGCTGGAAGAACAGGAGTTGAGAATAAAGTTTTCAATTTGGTCAATTCTAGAAAAATAATGTGGCTTTGCCACTTCCCGGCTATGTGTACTTAAACAACATTTCTTGTGTATGAGAAGGTAATATTTAGAGTACCTACCTTAAAAAAATTAATTAAATTCAAAAATAAAAGAAAATAAAGAGTACCTACCTTGTATGGTTCTCCCAAGGAAAAGTGAGTGAATCCTCTAGTGGCCATGAGAATGCACCTTGCAGACCTCCCACCATTGGGAGCTTTTTTGACCAAGGACCCAGATGCTGCATTATGAAACCCAAGAAAGTGTGTGTACTAAGGCAACACTACATATGAGCTGTACCCAATGACAGACCACAGCAGGGATTCTTTTTTTTTTTTTTAAGATTTTATTTATTCATGAGAGACACAGGCAGAGGGAGAAGCATGCTTCATGCAGGGAGCCTGATGTGGGACTCGATCCCAGGACTCCAGTATCATGCCCCGGGCCGAAGGCAGGCGCTAAACCTCTAAGCCACCCAGGGATTCCCCCATGGCAAGGATTCTAATGCAGGCCTGCGCCAGGGTGGCAATGGGACTCCTCTAGTGATCATCTTTGGCTCAAGGACTCCTCAACAGCCTCACTGAACTTCCTTTAGACCACATGGTGGTATGAGATGCTTCCACACACTTCCTTCCCTCTCTCCTTCACTTAGGGTCAGATTTGCATCATAGTCTCACGGCTCTCTCAGCCTTCCTCAGCTCCCTGACCATTTCTCCTAATAAAATCACTGCACATTTGTTTTTTATTAAAGAATTTATTTATTCATGAGAGACACATAGAAAGCAGCAGAGACATAGGCAGAGGGAGAGGCAGAGTCTCTGTGGGAAGCCTGATATGGGACTCGATCCCAGGACCCCAGGATCACGACCTGAGCCAAAGGAAGACGTTCAACCACTGAGGCACCCAGGTGCCCCAAAATCACTACATGTTGAATCCTGTATGGCATCTACTTCTCAGTGAATCTGGACTGACACAAACAGTACCAAGAGTTATCAGGAAAAATAGGTAGTAAGATGCAGATTTAGGACTGACTTACCCACAGCCTAGCAAGCAGAGGATGCCCTTCTAATGAAACACAGATAGTCCTTGGAACAAGATGATGGCTCAGATGCTAAAGATTTCACTGTTGGTG